ATTTTATACTACATGGAGCTAGGCGTAAGCCCCGATACATGGGGCGTGAGTCCCAAGGCGCGTACATCTCATGTATATTCGATTTTCCAATTTATTACTATGAAAATAAACAAAAGTAAAACTTTCAATGATTTTACAAATAAATTTTGATAAATAACCAATAATATAGAAAAAGATATTATAATTATTATTTGAAAAAGGTATTAACAACCAATAGTATAGAAAAAAGTATTATAATTACTATTTGAGAAAGGTAACAACTAACAACACAAAAAATAGCCAAAATAATCTTTAAAATGAAATCATCATCCATCTTCACATTAACTAGTCCTTCTCACCCTTAGGTAATATTGCACGAATTATTGTGTATATATTTTAAAGAAGAAGAAGGATTAAAAATATAAGAGTAATGACAAAAAAATAACAAAATTGTCTCAGAAACATAGTGTTATGTAGGGCTGGGCATAAACACCGAAAAACCGAAATACCGAACCGAACCGAAGAATTTCGGTATTTCGGTTTCGATATTTCGGTTTTCGGTTCGGTATTTGGTATGTATTTTAGTATTTTTTGGTAGTTCGGTTCGGTTTTCGGTATATAATTTTTGTATTATTCGGTATTTTGGTTTACCGAAATATATTATATTAAATAATAAATATTATAATTTAAATTTAAAAGCAAAATTAAATTAGGTCAAAAAAGTGCACAAGAATCAAGACCTTTTGTGAGTCTTTTCAAACTTTTCCACTTTTTTGTGTTTCTTTACACTGTACACTACTATTTACTCTCTTTTCCACTTTTGAGTTTTGACTCAAGTGACAAGCAGCAGGCACTAGGCAGTCTGCAAGTTTTTATTCATATTTTTAAATTAAACAAAAAAAAAGTAAATTTATAGTAATGTTCCTCGTTTTTGAAAGGAAAAAAGGAACAATGAGTCAATGACGGATTGACGTTGGTGTCAGTCTGCAAGATTGGTGTCATGGTGTGGAACTTGGAAGATTCATACAATAATTTAAAAAACAAAGCAAAATACTAAAATAAGCAAAAAGAAATAAATATAAACAAAATAAACAAAAAAAATTACAAAATTGTAAAAAGCCCACAATAAAAGAAAAACCGAACTAACAAAAACCGAACCGAAATAACATAAACCGAACCGAAATAATAAAAACCGAACCGAACCGAATTATTTCGGTTCGGTGTTCGGTACACATGATACAAGAACCGAAAACCGAAAAAAAAAACTGAAACCGAACCGAAATACCGAATGCCCAGCCCTAGTGTTATGAAAGCTCTATCCTATCAATTTCAGACACGATTATCATAAAAATTATTTATAACAATGTCATTTTCTATGAGTATTTATTTATACATGTTGGAAAAGATTACTACAACCTAAAAAAATATGATAACATAAAATATAAATATTATTACACTGATGATAAAAAAAATATGATTATTTTAAAAAAAAAAAAGGTTTAATGCCCAGAGCGTACATTTTTACGCTCAAGACTTACATTTTTATGCTCGAGGCTTACGCCCCAAATTCTAGGACTTATGCCCTATGGATCTACAAATTCAATTTGCGCTCTAGAGAATTTTTTTGGTACTCCCCACTCCAGAGCTCACCCCAACAACGTTTTTGAAAACATTGGTGCTATATAAATTAGATTAGAAGGAGCGATATTTATTATTTTAAAATAATCTAAAAAGTACCATAAATTATAATAAATCAACAACCCAAAATTTAACAATAAATCAAAATTTTAGTTAATTTCCAATTTCCATCTGTATCACATAATTAGGACATAAAAAGTAACATATATTAAACACGTTTAACATAGTCAAGTGTCGGGTCGGGGTGCAGTCTCGTGGTCGGGATTGGGTATAGAGTCAGGGTCGGGGTCGAGTCTCGGATCAAGTCTCGAGTAGGGTGTTAGGGTCGGGGTCGCATCTCGGGTTTAGTTGTCAAGGTTGGGTGTTGCGGTCGGGTCTTGGGGTCGGGATTGAATCTCGAGTTTGGTGTCGAGGTCAGGATCGGGTCTCAAGTCGGGGTCAACGCGGGTCTCAAATCGGGTGTTAGGTTGATGTTAGATCGGGTGGTTCTCAGTTTGGGTTAGGTCTCGAGTCGGGATCAGTTGTCGGGTGTCGGGTCTCAAGTTCGATTCTCCGATCGGGTCTCGGGTCAGGTGTCGGTCATGGTCGGGTCAAGGTCGTGTTCGATTCTAAGTCAGGTTCGGGTCTCGGGTCGGGGTTGGGATCGGGTCTCAAGTTTGCGTCTCAAGTCGGGTCTCTAGTTCGACTCTCCGATCGGGTCTCGGGTCAGGTAACGGTCAAGGTCAGGTCGAGGGCGTGTTGGATTCTAACTCAGGTTTGGGTCTTGGGTCGGGGTCAGGTCTTTGATCGAATGTCGGTGTTGGATTTCATTTCAAAAGTTGGATATTGGGGTTAAGATTCGGGTCTCGGGTTGAGGTCGGGTCTCGAGTTGGGTTTAGGTTTGGGTGTCAGGATCATATTCCAGTTCGAATGTCAGGTCTCTAGTGGGGTTAGGTCTTGAGTTTGGTCTTGGGATTGTATCCTAATTCGGGTCATGGTCAAGGTCGGGTTCCAAATCAAATGTCAGGTCCCGTGTCGGGAGTAGGGATCATGTTCCAAATCGGGTGTCGAGATTAGGTACCGAATCGATTATTGGAGTTGATTTCATATCAGAATCTATTTTTCTAAAAAATATTTTCTACTCTATAGCCAAAAATAAAAGATATTTTCTAAAAAAATGTTTTCATTCAACAATCCTACACTAGAAAATATTTTCCGAAAACCATTTTTCACTTACCAACCCAAAATGAGAAAATAAGTTAGGAATCAACTTATTTTCCAAGAAAACATTTTCCTTCATCCAAACAACCCATAGGGTTGGATCAGGTTCCAAATCGGGTGTCCAGACAAGGTACCAAATCGATCGGAGTTGATTTTCAGGTCAAAAACTATTTTCCTAAAAAAAAAATTCTACTCTCTAGCGAAAAATAAAAATATTTTCTAGAAAACATTTTTCATTTACCAATCATACACTAGAAAGTATTTTCCATGAAAAACAAGAAAATACATAAAAAAAAAAATCCTGAACTTGATCAGATAACTTACTTTAGTACTTAAACTACACGGGCGTTTAAATACCCCCCTTAAGATCTTTGAAGTGATTTTTTTTCCACCCTCAGACTATAACACCACTCTCACCCGCCACATCATAGCCACGTAAGCGTCATATCATAACCATGTAGGCACCATGTCATTAATCTTTATTTCTTTTTACTTATTCACTATTTTTTCTTAAACATTTTTTAAAATTAATTATATCAATTGATTATTTTTTAAATGCATACCACCACCCCCACGCTCACCCTCACCCCCTCTCTTTCTTCTTCCTTGTTGTTCACCATTATTCCAACCTTCAATACTTTCGTTTCTTCTTTTTCACTATTCAACAATTTTTTAAGTCACTTTAAAGAAGAAATTCACATTATCTTCTTTGAACCCTCCCAATGAATTTACCCTCTTGGAGAATGGATTTTTTTGAAAGTCAATTTTTTCTTGACAATTCAAATAAGAAATGAAGATTGCATAAGAAAGTTGATAAAAAAAATATAAATTTTATGAGAAATGTTTGAATGATCTAGAAATCAAAATTGGTCGCTCAAAATTTAAGAAAGTTTACATTTGCCAAATCGATACAAATAATAGAGTGAAATTGACGTCAATAAAATGACATTGCTATTGAATTTTACGAATTAGTAAAAGATTAGTGAAATGGAAATAGTGGATAGAGGTGGGGAAGAAGATGGAGGAAGAGATATTTCAATGGAGAAAAATGTGTATTGAAGAAGACAACAAAATAATAAAAAAAAAAATAAAGAAAATAAAAAGGGGACCCACTAATTTCATTTACCTCTTAATAAGAAAATTTACATATTTTAAAGATTTAATATATAATAAAAAAACTATTTAAATAATTTGTTATATATTGGCCAATAAAAAAAGGCCATGTGTAGGGCTTTAAAAATTAAGCTTTTTTTTTCTCTTTTTTCACGCACTTTCAGGAGAGTGCACTCACTCTTTCTGCCACATCACCCCTTAGGGGGTGTTTTAATCACTTAAAAGGTGTTAATGGATATATAAAGGCCCGTGTAATTTAAGTACTAAAGTAAATTTTCGTGTCAAGTTCAAAAGAATTTTATGTCTTTTCCCTTTTTCTTATTACCAAACACACCCATAGGGTTGGCTGCAATCTCATCTACTCCTTGTAGTCATCAAATCACCATTAATATCTCTTCCCTACCTTTTTTCCCCCTCTATTTAGGGCCCGTTTGGCCATAGATTTCCCAAATAATATTTGGGGAAAAATTTGGCAAATAATGTTTGTCCATACAATTTGCCATTATTTAGCAAATATCCCAAATTCCCAAATACTAGTTTTTTCTAGTATTTGGGCCAAATCTCATTATTTGGGATCTTTTGAAAATTGAAATTTTACACCAAACTTTTATCTTTTACAAAAACACCCTTTATAGTAGTTGTTTGCGTTGTATTACATTTTTTTTTACGTGAACACCAAAGTAGTGATGAAATATTCAGTGAATCTGAAAGTGATGATATGGTTGTTGATGAAAATGATGAACAATCGGCTCAAGGTAACAAAGTCATGTGCTTTGTCTACTTCACGATGTATGAAATGATGGTTGTTGCACTCACTCCAAACTACCACATTGCTCTAGTGGCATGGAAACTACTTGTTATTTGTTGCAACGAAGATCCAATTGACTTGTAATACAAACTTATGGTTAGTTTTGATAGTTTTTAAAACTTATGGGTATAAATCATATTTTTCTAAAAAGTGAAATATATTTCACAAATACTATGGCCAAACACATGGTAAAATTTCACCCAAATTTTCATCCAAATAATATTTGTCAAGAATATTTGGAAATCTATGGTCAAACGCTAGCTTAAACTTTTCAATCCCTTTCCTTTTTCTTCCTTTTCATGGTATATATATCCAATCCAAGCAATTTGGTGAAAGCAATAAAATTCTCTACTTTGTAAACATCACAGTTCCAAAGAGTGAGGAGAAATGGCAACTACGGCATTTGTAGAATTCAGTGTTGTTGTTCGTCCTCAATCAAATTTCGTAAATACTTCATACTTGCAGCAGCTTCATAGTCATCGTCCCTTCTTATCCCTAAGCATTCCCAAATCAACTGCTGCTCTCTCATTCACTCAATCTCAAGGTTAGTACCATTTTTTTTTAATTTAATTCCATTTTTTGGGCTTGTTTCAAATTTGTGAATTTGTTTGCTCAATTGATTAGGGTTTGGATGTGCAATTGAGAGACAACAATGTGACCGTGGGGATTTTGTTCAAATATCGGCTGTTCGGGAGTTGGCTGGTTCTCTTATTTCTGCTCAGGGACATCGGTTTGCTATTGTGAGTGTGTTTCTCTTTTTACCCTTTATTTGTTCTCCATTATTGTCCTGTGTTTCAATTTGTTTATCTGGTTTTGAGTTGCACGGAATTTAAGAAAGTAAAAAAAAAAATAATTTAAATCTTGTGTTTTTAAGTATGTTACTCTCTCCGTCCACTATTAATTGTCATGTTGCATTTTTTAAAAGTCAATTTGACTAATTTTCAAAGATAAATTAGATTACATTAATTCGATATTTTAAATAAAAAATTTAGATATTAAAAAACTATACGAATAGTACTATAAATTGCAATTTTTACATATCAATACGATGAAAAGTGGACCGAAGGAGTATGTGAAAAGTTGAAATTAAACTGTTGCCAAAAAGAAAGGAAAGTAACATTCTTTTTTACATGGAAAAGAAAAAGAAGTAGGAATGGAGGAGGATTACCTATTGGTAAGGCTGCTTACAGTAGCAACTAGGGATCAATAAACACCAAATTTGATGACTTATTAAGAGAAAGATGAAGTAAAATCATGCTATTGGAGATGATATGTCGGGAAGGCCCTTATTCGTACCTTGCACATAGCTTGAGCTTAGTGAACCTGATTGATCTTTTTATTACATATCTGATTTTCTTTGGTTACTCTCTCAATAGTTGCTTGCTTATTGTTACATGTTAGTAATCTCTTCGTATCTTTTTACCCTGCTATTTCTTCTTTGACGGTCTGAAAAAGATTGATGCTTTCTTGGATTTGGAAACTATTTAATTTTTCCATTCTTATTCTACCTTCATCGTGACTCACAATGCAAACATAAATTCAGCTTTTTTGAGAAAAAAAAATATCCTCTTTCGAAAGGATGTTGTGGTGATTGAAAAATGGATGGCAAATGAAATTGTTAGAATACAAAAGAAAGGATTAAAAAATAAAGAAAGATGAACAATGAGTTGGATGTAAAATAAATCCTCCATCTGTTCCATTTTACATGACGCTCTTTCCTTTTCCGTATGTTTAAAAAATGACCTATTCAATTAATTGCCACAAAAATTTCAGGGATTAGTTTAAGACCTCTAAACGTTTTCTTTTTTTTCTTTAACTCCATGACCAGTAAAACAGTTTACATAAAATGAAACAGAGGAAGTACTTTGTTAGTAAGGATATTTTGGCATTTTTATGTTTTTTTAGCTTATGTGTGAAAGGTCTTCCTTTTCTTCCCTTGAACTCCGTGTCCCATCAACACTGCCAGACAAATTGGGTCTCAGGGGGTATTTTATTAATGTAAGGATCTTTAACAGCGAGAATAGATTATATCATAGGTAAAGGTATAGTCAATATAGCTATAAATAGCCATCCATTTGCTCTCTAGAAAGGATTTCAAGATGTTGGCAATTTTGTCTCAAACATTTGGAATTTTATCTCTCTGCATGATTATAACAAGTTAATGAACTTATTCTGTTGCTCTTTGGTGTGTTTGGTTTGACTTAAAGTCATATTGCTGTTGACTTTGTTATAGCTTCAATTTTTCAACTTCTGTTGGTTCTTTTCTGTATTATTTAAAATCGATTGTCCTTTGTGGTTCTAAAGGTGGTAGCACGTTTTAATGATCTGATCACAAAGAAACTTTTGGAGGGAGCTTTGAACACATTCAAGAGTTACTCAGTTAGAGAAGAAGACATTGATGTATGTGTTCGGCATTTATCTCCGTCTTTTTTTCTTGCTACTGTTTCAAAATTATATGATTAATTGATTATAACATGTGGACCGAGGCACTGTTAGGTAATAATTTCTTCATGAATTATATATCTATGTATTTTGGTCTTTCTTCTCTGTTATTTCTGGTCCATCACTCTTTTTAAAACCTTCTGATTATCTTTTCCTTCAATTTAAATATGCTGGGAGTGAGGATGAAAGGAAGAAAGTCACTGGTTGAGCTCACATTGAAGATTAATACCTTAGATCAACAATTAAAGCTACACCAAATCCAAAGTGAAGGGGAAAGAAAAACTCTGATCACTTGAATAGGCCATTACATTGGTGCATTTGAACATACACCCCCTCAGAAAAAGAAAGTTAATTTGTGTGGTTCCATGAACTTTTTGTAGTAAATACTTCTTAAGATCCAATCTTCATCATGTAAAACTTTTCCATGATGTGCCATGTTAGAGCATGAATACCAAACATGACTTATTTATAAAGGAAAAAAACAAGTCATAATGGTATTTTTTGTTTTAGAATATGTTGTCTCATAGATTTGAGGCAGAGTTTAGGCATGATCAGTAGTGTCTTCCATTTCAAGGCATCATTTGTCTTTTCCTCATAATGTGTTGTGCGCAGGTTGTGTGGGTTCCTGGTAGTTTTGAAATAGGTGTTGCCGCGCAGCAACTTGGCAAGTCAAGAAAGTATCAATCAATATTGTGTATCGGTGCTGTGGTGAGCTTCCATCAAATCTTGACGTTGTGTTGTATACCTTCTTGTTCTGTTCTTGCTTCCTTCAACTGTTTCTTTTGATGGTCCTTTTGGTTATACGACTATGAAAATATGAGTGTTGCGGATAGTTTTCTTACAGGGCTATCAATTTTCATATTGAGCTTGATTCAAATGAATTACAGAGGTAAACTACCTTAGGATTGATGAGGACAGTAGTGAATGTGTCCTTTCCTCCTGATGAGAAGATCACACTTTGTTACAACCCTTACTCCATCAATGAAAAAAATAATGGAAAATGTAACAGAACTCTATCAAGGATGATAGATTATGGAACTACTTTTGATACAACAACAACTACGACACCTCAGTCCCAAAAAAGTTAGAAATACTTCTGACAGATAAGAAAAATAATATATGTAAGATAAGTGTTGGGATTGAATTCCTTATTGAAGTTTATGTTGGAAGGGAAAAATCTATCAGAATCTGCTCTATGTGAATGGTATGATGTGTCTTGGTCAGTGTTTTCTGATTTATCTTTTTTTAGGATGTATTATCTTTCTATTCAAAAGGATTAGGCGTTCTAATTGAAATAGATGGCGATATAAAGCTAAGATTAGAATATCAGAGCTAAGACCAACAGAGAAATAACTGCTATGTCAGTAGTTATTCCTATAACTTAAATGATCCATCTTTCTGATTTCTGTCTCTTATCTAAATCCTGACATGACTAATATTTTCCACAGGTTTTTGGAAGTTAATTTTGTTGCTTCTTGTTTTGTATGGATTATTATCTTTTAATTCTCTTTTTCTGTGTGTTTTGTGGCCAGTAGATTAGAGGTGATACCTCCCATTATGATGCCGTGGTCAATGCTGCCACGTCTGGAGTACTTTCAGCAGGTTTAAATTCAGGTAAGTGACCTATTTTTTGCTTTGTCAGTTTTGCAGTATTTTCTAATTATATTTTTAAAATTTTGAGCATAACTTTCTGAAAGGTACAATTCTTGAGCATTATTAGTGCTTCCCGTGGTATGTTAATCGTCATGAGATATGGAAATGGCATATCCTAGATTTCATGTCCCCCCACAGCTGGTCCCTACCCTTATTATTCGTAGTTCCTTCACTCCTAGGTGATTCACTTTCTGTTACTCGGAGCATAATTTGAGTTTCTTATCCTTTTCTTTTAAGAGGGTTAACAGACTCCTTTGCATTTCCAATGTAATATGTCTTTGGGTGTCCGAGTAAGAGTTGGTAAGTCCATGGGTATTTATTCTAATGCCATGTGTGTCAAACAATGAGTTGCAGATTATTTTTCTTTCTCTGGTTTCAAAATTTGGGTCTATGAATGAGTACCATTTTTTCTTCTTTTTATGTATTGCTTAGTTTTAGTATGAAAAAAGGAATTGAGTATTTCATGAATAGTGGTAAGAGAAAAGTATGTCGTTAACTATTGGAGCGTGTGACCTGTTAAAAATCTAGGAATTTATGTATGACTGTACTTGTCAAGCGAAAAACTACATTGTTTAATTTACTTATTCAGAATGGAGAACCACTTGATTCTTGGAAGTTTTGAATGCTGTATTATTAAAGGCGTCAAACAATTTTACATTACAAAATGGTTAGTGTTTCATGGTGTGAGATGTAATGTTTAAGTAATTGTATAACAATAGGGAGTTTCCTGAAAACTTTCAACTTGACCTCTAATACAGTGTATCTATTTTGAGTTACTGTACTAGCAAGTTCTCACGTGTCAAAAGCACAGGGATCTCACTTTACGCATGAAATTAAAGACAAGAAGGTAAATGGTTGAGTCATCTTAGAGTATTACCATTTTCCAATTGGTTCACTCCTGTCACACTTAATGTTTTTCCTTCTTCTCTAATCCACTGCAGTACAAGAAGAAAAGTGACATCTGTACTTTTGTCACTCTTTGTTAATTATAAGAAGATTGGTCTTTTGTTAAGGACTAGAGTGCAATAGCCAATTCTACATCTTTATCAAATCCTCTAATAACTACAGCTACTTCAAATTTATAAGCTATTCTATAGTCATTATTAGCTGCTGCCTTTTCAGTTTATTTTTGCATTAGCTGATGAAAATTAAAATCTTGGTAATTTAATGAGTTGCAGGTACTCCTTGCATATTTGGTGTCCTGACATGTGATACCTTGGAACAGGTAATTTGCTAAGCTATCAGTTCCTTTTTTTCACAAGCATAGTAGTAGGATTATATTTATAGTAGCCACTAATTGTTATAGTGATTTTGCAGTAACCTATCATACCTTTTATCTTTATTTCAAACTTCAATAGACAAGTTAAATCCTGGACATAATTACAAGAGATATGACCTTTTACTAATGTTTCCCAACAGACATTTATAGCTTTAACTTTATCAACAGAAAAATAGCTTTAAATTAAAATACCAAACCTTGGAGCTTCACCTTTAATCATTTTATTGTCACACCTATCTACTGTCTGCTTGTCCTTCTATACTAGTAGTCGTAGTATTTCTCATGTAGTTTCTTGTCCTTAAATTCCTGTTACTGTCTATTGTCTCTTGTACTTCGATTATTGCATAACTTGGTTGTAGTTACTGTTCCTTTTTTTCAAAATGCTTTGTCATGATTTCTTCACTTCTATTTCTTTTTTTGGTATGCTTTGATGTTATTCCTTTAGCGGAGGGTCTATCAGAAACAACCTCTCTACCTCCCAAGGTGGGAGGAGTAAGGTCTGTGTGCACTCTACCCTCCCCAAACCGCACTTTTGGGATTACACTGCATATGTCATTGTTGTTGTTGATTGTCACACCTATGGACCAATTGATCTAGAAGACTACGTGGGACATGACTTAAACATGTTCAGCAACCCTCTTTCATTTTACCCTCTATATGTGGAACTTTTATGGTTTTATGATCGGTAGGATATCATATTTCCAACTTTATCTAATATGCACCTTGTTTATCCAAGTAGCCTAAATGTTTGGGAGAAAAAGAAGTTGAACAAACCTAAGTTCTGCTGCTATTAACTGTTAATTTCTGTGGATCACTATAATAATTTACCGCCTCTTTTATCTATACATATCTCTACACATTCTTCTTGGCTTGTTGGACTGCTGATCATAACCCATCTACGTCTCCCCTCCCTGTATTATTCTCTCTATCTGCTTCTTATGCTGTCAACGGCAGCGTCGTTATGGTTTGTGGTAGTATATCATATGATAGAAATCCTAAATGTTGCAGGCTTTCGACCGTGTTGGTGGGAAGGCTGGGAATAAAGGTGCTGAAGCAGCATTGACAGCCGTAAGTTGTCTGTAACTGTGTGGCATTTGATCATATTTTCATTAACTAGTTATCAATCTTGTCTAATTTTTGCTGAAATTGCCTGCCTTGTTATATGGTGCTTTCAAAGACAAACCCAATGCCAGTTTAACAGGAAACTAGCATGGAAAAAAGTGAAATATCTAGTTAACAATTCTTTTAATATCTTCTGTTCCATGCAAAACTTCAACTTTTAGGTCAGACAGATTTTCAAATTGATTTAGTTTGAGATGGTATTAACTTAATATAATTGTTTGGTAAATGTAGTTTGAAATTTCCCAAGTTCAAATAAGAACTCACGATGTGTCCTAGTGAAGATTTAACCCACAAATCCTAGGGTTCAAATACTAGCAGAGATACCAATAAGTCTTGCATAGGTAATGTCACGCCCTGAGCCTACACTCTGGATGTGGCCGGCACTCGAGAACCATTGCCGGCCCCAAGCGAACCCTTGGCCTGGCTTACTTACTCAGCGGAAGACTTAGACATAAGAAAGAGAATCCAAATACAAGATAACTCAACATGTCTCAAACTGAACTCATAATGTTTTAAAAATAAACATTTCACTTAGCCAAAATGGCAACTCAAATCTGAACATAGGCCAATAACAAAATGATGACGAATGAACTAACATCTGACTGACTATCTATGAAGCCTCTAAAACAACTGAGATGGATGTCGGGACAAGCCCACGACATCCTAATGAGCTAAAATGATAAAGTAATGAAAAAGGGGTGATCCTCCTGAATGCAAGGAGGCTCACCAACAACTCTGAAGCTCAACTGGATCAACGATGCGCTGGATACTGATCCTGGTTATCTGGGTCTGGATCATAATAAGATACAGGTCAACTGGCATCAATACATTGAATGTACGAGTATGCGAGTTAGAATGTTAAACATAACTTAAGCTTGAAAAGGATCTGAAAGAAACGCTTACCTTGACTTTATTCAACTCCTGAATAGCTTAACTCAACTTACTCAACTTACTGAACTCATTTCAATATAAAGCAGTTTAAAAACAAGTGCAACATAAAGAAAAGTTGTTTAAAATATGATGTCAACTCTGTGTATTTAGAAATACAATAATAACTCTGTATGTATGCAAAGATACAATATGAACTCTATTTGTATATGAAAATACAAATATATCTAATGTATATAAAAATATAAAATACTGTTGTGGGAGTTTCTCTAACCAACAACCATCACTTAAGAGCTATAGTGATAATATAGCGTTTCTTGGCCCCACGCTGTCAGGGCCATCCTATACCTTGCCGGGGGTATAGAACCTGAACTACTAAGTGGATCCACTAGTTTATGCTAAAAAGCACTAAGGGTTCATCTAAAAAGTATGATCATTTTCTACCCATGATGGCTACATGGTTTATGGGGGTTGTCGGTTCTCTGAACGCTCCCCCATATCGGTGCTCAATACTACTCCCAAAATATGATACTAGCTCTTTATGTTTTAAAACATACTTCTTCTGTGATTTGAGATTAGTGCTCAAAAACTTAGCTCAAAGGCTATCTTGGAAATCAAAGTTTCCCCTCTTGCTTCATTTAGAAAGCGATTTCTCTTTTCTGAAAACTAGCCCGAAGGCCCTTTGGAAATCGAGGTTTCCTTGTTTAAATGTGAAAACATTTTCAACCCTTTGGGAATACATAGTCCCCATATACTTTTGAAGAAATGGACTTCAAACTTTACTCTTTACTCTTTACTCTTTACTCAACTTGAAGTTTAAGTCTTAAAACAAAGTTAAAACATTTGAAAAAGACTTTTGGAAAACTCTAAGAACTTTTCTTGACTTTGATCTTAACTGCTCTTGACTTGACTCTTAACTGGTCCTTGAATTGAATTATGGATTCAAGGATTTTGATTTGTGATAGGAAGGATCACATGATGATTAGGAATGATCTTAAATATCTAAACATGAGAAAAGTCACGAAATCACCATCTTGGAACAAGTACGCGACGCGGAGATGTTTCTAAATGAATACTCGCGAAATTAAATTTTGAGACAGAGGAGTCCGCGTCTTAACCGCGATGCGGAGAAACTTTTTGGTTACTGGGGGAGCAAGTCCGTGACGCGGACTTGCGTGCCAGATCACGCTCGACTTTTTCCTTCTCCGCTTTACAGCCCCAATTCGCCTAAACTTGACTATTGATCTCAAATTCAGTTTAGATTCCTATACCCAACATATGTACTCAAAACCACTCTAAAACTCAACGTAAAGATCTCTAAAACTCCTCAATTCATCCTAATTCAAGAACAACAATCAAATTCAAGAATACATGTCAAGAACATCCACTTTCAAACTCTTTTTATGACAAATTTCACTGAACTAAACATGTTTGGCGCGTGGGTGAATGAACCCAATGCTATGAGAGACTCACATACCTTGTAGGGATCACCCCCGACGAAATCCACAAGCTAAACTCGACGAACTTGACGATTTCCTTGCTTCTCCTTCTCTTTTCTCCTCTTCTTTCCTCTTCTCTAAAACCCTAACTCTTTTCCAAAAGCGTAAAACTTACCAAGTTCAATTTAGATCCTTAATTAATTAACTAAAACTAATTTAATTAATTGGATAAGGAAAGGACTGAAATACCCTTCAAAAATCCGGATTGGATATTTCCATATTTGAACAGCCCAACTTCCAAAGGGATAACTCACTCATACGAACTCAGAATCGCGCAAACTCAGCGGCGTTGGAAAGATTATTCCAAGAGCTTTCCAACCATATCTGGAAGTACACCTAACTAATTCTGATCTAGGAGTTATGGCCGTTTGATGTTGACCAAAAACTCACTTTTCTTAACTTAAACAAATTTCCAGATTTTTCATTATTTCCAAAAATGACTATTTCCAGTTCTTAGCTTCTTCTTAGCTATTTCAAATTGCGAGATGTTACAAGTAATGTCGTGTTTGGTAGCTGGAGGTAAGTTATTCATGTATAATAGTAATTCGTGTTTATACATGTATAAGTTATGAGTGAATCTATTGATTATTTTATGCAGGATAGAAGGTAGAATAACTCAACCCTGCATAAAATAATACATATATTCCTTCATAACTTATCCATCTATTACTAATATCTGCATAACTCTAACCAGCTACCGAACGACCCCTAAGTGATTTCTTCCTATCTACCTAAATCCTTTGTGGGGCATAATTACCTAGTGTTGGTGGGAGGTAGAAGGTACAAGGTGGGTAATTGAGGTGCTCGCAACTTGGTCCGGACACCACCATTGTCCAAACATATAATGTTTTAAAGTTCAGATAGCTATGGTCTCCTTGGAATTGTTGTTCTTGTGCTTGAAAATTGAACTTATACTGTTTGTGCTAATGTTTTCAGATTGAGATGGCATCTTTGTTTGAGCACCATCTGAAACCATTACAGTAGGGAAAATACCTTTTTCTTTTTTTTGCTGCAGCTTTATTGTTGGAAGAAGGTTGTGTAGTAATTTGGCAATTGTGTTTTTTGAGGAACCAGAATTGTCAAAATTGCTCTAAATTGTTTGCAGGGATAACATTTGTGAACCAAACTGCAGTTGTTCCAATGTTGTATTTTCAAATAATAATAATAATACATCTATTTCTCCGAAATATTAGGAGTTCGGGGAAGGAGAATAAGAGTTAAGGACAACTGTTTCAATGGCCAACTTGACCATCACATCCACTCATAGAATTGGGGAGGTGGCACAATTTGGCCCGTAAATATTATGACAGATTTGCCACAAGTGAGGTCCCTACGAAATATATAAGGATCACCAATATATGAATAACTAATATTCGACCAATCAATATTAATTTTTTTTTAGAATTAGTTGTGAACTTTGTGGCTAATCCATCGTTATTTCACTTGTATCTAATAAAAGTTCATTGCTAATTCATCACTAAATAGGATTAGCGGCATATTTTATTGTTTAACTATAAAATTTATTATCAATTAATTCATTTTTCATTCAAACGATTTTTCAATCAAACTAGTATTAAATATTTATTCATACGATTTTTCAAAGAGTGATTTTTATTAGTAATTGAAAAGACTAGGAAACTAGAAAATAAGCAAGAAACTTAGAAACTAAATTCAACAAGAGAATGTTTTGTTTAGTTATCCACTTGAATTAACTAATTTGATTTATTGACTGACATAGATATTATTCATAAGAATCTTGCGAGTTCTTACTCACCTATTCGAGTTAACCTATTACCTATATATCTATGGAATTAGAATTAACAAGAACCCATTAATAATTCATGTATTATAACCATTCAAGACAATTAGGTTTCCAATCTCAAAAATCATAAAAATATCTATTTAAGGGTTAATACTACGGTTTTTATATGTATTTTTTCTATTACTACTTATAAAGTTTTAATTACAAGTATTAACAAATCATTTTACTTTATAAATTAATTAATTTATATAATGTTAATAGGTGAAAGAAAGAAATTATGAGACAAAATAAGTTTATAATTATCAATTATACCTTTTAAGGGATTTCTTTTAACACATCACACATCACACACCACACCCCACCCCCACGCCACATACCCATGTCGGTTTCTCTTTCCACCCATGCCAGTCTCTCTTCCTCTTCTAACTTTTCCATTCTTCTTCTGCTCCATTCAAACGTAAACTGCCACAAAGTTGAGTTTATGAACGATGTACCTCAACAAGATCCAAGATCAAAGTATGTATTCCTATCTTATTGTAATTTGTTCATAATAATTAATTCACTTTCTTTTTCAAAATAATTTTTTTCAATGTTTTTTCAGTGCTTGTGGACTATACGCATGTCTATTTGCTAAAAATATTAGCAATGGAGTTTTTGATATGGGTTACATTGACATCGATGCAACATACCATCGTCAAAGGTTTGTCACAATCATATGACAATATGGAAAAAACAAGAATGCTGATGGCACATCTAATGAGAGCGAAATAATTGACACTATTGCTAGCAAATATGGTGGATTGCATATAGGAAAGGAACATGCTCCGAATACTATCAATTATTCTACATCAAGACCAATGAGATCAGTTGGAAGATAGATGATTGGCTTAGAATTCCATTCCAAATGATTACCAGCAGTAACCAGTTTTAATTTTTTAGTCTACATTTGAAAAACACTGCATACACATAGGAGTAAGTAGTACACATAATAAATACCATAATTCTTTAAGTTAAAAGACCCAAAAACAATCAAATGGATCTGTTTGTCACAATTAAACAACTAAATTAAAATTAAAAGAAATTATGACTAATTTTAGCAGGGTATATCTTCCTGTTGTGTTCCTTCCGACGACATGTGATGCACTTAACTTTATACCTCTTGAATTTCACATCAACAAACTCCTTCCAACGTTCAAGTTATGATCTCCCTATCTTTCTTTTAGAACTAGGCGGCAACAAATTAGACTCCGACACATAACTTGGTATATCCCATGTACTCTCGCATGGGAGAGGTTCAAGAGAAATTGCATATGCGTCCTCAAAAAATTTTAACTATAAAAAGGAGAGCAATAATCTGATTCATGCAGTTTTCTGGACTTAAGACCAAGTCAATTGTAAGCATTCTTTAATTACAAACACTAACCTGATAATTTCTATACCAATATCATACCAAGACTAAACACTGGTTCATACAAAATTCATACCAAGAAGAGTACCAGATTCAAAATAAACACTAACATGAACATTTCTATGCGCATTTCATACCAACACTAAACATTAATTCATACAAGAATCATACCAAGAAGTGCACCAAATTTACACAAGTTAATTGTAAAATTATTTAATCATAAATTAACCGTATATAAATCAATTCCATTGTGGGTATATGCAAATTCCTATACCAAATTCATGCCAAAAGAAAACAATTCTTATTTAAAATCGAACAATATAAATTTAAAAAATTGTTCAAATAAAAATTGAATACTATTCACTAAATCGAATAAAATTACGTAATTTTATTGATATACACAACTAAAACACATTCGAAATAAACACTAATTTGAACAATTTCAGCTACCACCATACTTAATTAATATTGATAAGAAGCCCTCCATCACAGAGAAAGATAATGGCGAAACAAGAAAAAAAATGTGAGAGAAGAGAAAATTTTGAGCTATTATTGTTTTGAGCGTTGATAGAGAAAGATATGAATATTGAGTAAAAAATAAGCGATTTATGTTTTGATAGATAATTAACAAGTGAGAGAAAAGGTTAGTACTATTTTGAGCTAAACAAGAAAACAAATATGTTGATTGTTATGACTCTCCTGATTTTATGCCTATTATTAATTATCATAACTATTATTAATTTGTTTGTTAATATATATATTCCTTTTTTTATTCAACAAATATTATAGCCCGTAATTGTTTAATGTTAAAACTTGAAACATAAAGAATAAAGTCATGACTAGTAATAATTAGTCTTATATATGTCAATTATAAAATTTTCTCTTTTCTACAAGGATGCTTATGATTTGATTAAAAATCGATCCAGATCAAAAAAATGAATCAAACTAATTAAATAAATCGATCCTTTTTGGGGTGTGGTTTGGTTTAAATATTTAAAAACCACACAATATTTGATTTAGTTTTGATTTTAAAAAAAAAATAGAACCAAACAGACAAATATACATATACTATTTGAATTGACCAACATGCCCCTCATTAAGTTTATCCAAGATTTTGCTAGTTAGACTTTGCTTCTTTATTCAACATTAGTAATTTCTGATAATAAACTTTTCTGTACTAACAAAACAAAAGCTTCTCAGTATTAGTTGTAAAGCTAATTATGCTAAGACAAACATTATTATAAAAGGAATTAAATAATTCATCTTTTAATATAATAATAATAATTAGATATAAAATTTCTTAAACTTGCTTGACATAGAATTCATAGAGGGGACAATATAACATATGACACGAAAGCAGAGATAATGCCTACCTTCATATCCACTCCATTCCCATTTGCCAAAAAAATAGAGGCAAAACCTTCATAAGATTCCTTTCAAACTTTCAAATATTGCCAATCACATCATGCTACCCTTCACTCTTCTGACCAAGTGGCGTACTCATAATTTTGTACAAAAATATATTGAAGTAAATAAGCTCGAGCAATCTCTAAAGATTTTAATACTTTACTTATTGTCTCAAATTAATATTTACTTTATATCATTTTCAAATGATGTCAGACCATTATACATACATACATTATTAGTTATTAATAAGCATTAGTACATCATCGAATATACAATATTATTCCACATCCGATTCTTTCGGTTATTTGTTGTGCAAACAAGAAGTTAAATACGAGGAAAAATTAATAATGAGAAGTATTTATTCTAGGCTCGAACATTGATGTGTATTCATATCATACATTGGTGACATTTTTATTGCTATGTTTATTCTTTTTTATTTTTTTAAAAGTGAAAGTTGTGTCAAAAAGGAAAAATATGGAACCAAATGAATATCATAACTATCATATGAAGGAGAAAAAAGAAGAAAAAGGTTGAAAATTATATGTTATATATGTAAAGAGAAGTTTAGAATCAAAGTTAAACATAGAACCAAAGGAAGAAAGAAAAAAACTTAGAAACATTTAATTAAAATAGATTTATTTATTCATGATATAACAACATGCTCACTTTAAGCTAAGTAATGAGAGGACAAAATATTTTAATGGGACTTGCTTGTATGGCTAAATATTCCCTTCTTAAATTCATGTGACATAAAACAAAAAAGGCAAAGTATATAAACCACCAATTAGGTGATTTTGATGCACAAAAAATATTCACTCATGTCTCTTCCTACTTGGTTAAGTCTCAAGATTAAGTCCCCTCATGAGTATAGCTACAAGCCTTCATCTAGGCTCATTCCATCTTCTATTCCATCAAAGTTGAATCTACCATATACAAATCACTCTGAATGTCCAAACATTCTATGTCCTCCAACAGACCAGGTTTACATGTCGTCCATACTAAAAAGATCTATTTCAAAATACTTGTCATTCTCTGTTCATCTACTTTTACTTGTTTGTTCACTATACTAAAAATAGATGTTCACTTTTCCTTGTCCAGTCGAGAAAACCAAGAGATAATTTTATTATTTAGTTCCTTATTTATCCTTACGATTAGAGAAGGTCATTTCCCAATGCATTTAACAGAACATTGAGTTTATTATATTCATAGGGTAATATAGTAAAATTATAATTTTATTTATTGCTCCTTAAGGGTTGTGTCAAGTCAATACTGGACAAGTAAAAATGAACAGAGGGAATTTTTTTTTTCCGTTTTACCCTTATTAGTAATGTGTTCTTGAACTAGAAAGGTGTTCACTATGAAACTTGTCCAAGTCAAATGCAGCATTGAAATGGAAGGGGAAAGTTAGGGGCCATAAAGAGCGAGTTCAGAATTCAACTGTCAAGGCGTCTTTTGGGTCAAAACCCAAGGGGACAAAACCTTAAGGTCCCAAAAGTTAGACGAAGAGCGAGCAATACCTTGACAGTTGAGCCTGGACCAATATATCTTGTTACTATTTTCTACTGATTCTTTACAAACAATACAATGTCAATGTGCCAAGAATCTATAATGTAGATTTACATCTTTACCATTGTTGGCAGAATGTTGCAGCAATAGTGTTTGGAGATGGATCAAATTCAAGACTTTATCCATTGATAAAGAGAAGATCAGAAGCTGCACTTCCTATAGCAGGAAACTACAGGCTCATTGATGCAGTTATCAGTAACTGCATCAATAGTAATATCAAGAAGATTTATGCACTTACACAATTTAACTCTGCCTCTCTGAATTCTCACCTTTCAAGAGCTTATTCCTGTGCACACATCGGAAACGAAGCATTAGTTGATGTAATTGCAGCTTATCAGAGTCCTGAAGGCAAGGGCTGGTTTCAGGTAAACAAAAACAGGCAGTTTCAAGACTTTATAAATGCTTTCTATAACATTCCTTCTTGAGTAGCTGTTAACACGAATAAGAGCAACACTGTTATATCCAATGTATTCTACGGATAAAGAAGTTGAGAGATTTTGTAGGTTCTTCTCTCCATTAGAACTATAGGACCGTTATGCTTCTCAGTGTTTTCATGTATTCTCAGGGAACTGCTGATGCGATAAGAAGATGTTTGTGGGTACTAGAAGAGTATCCGATTGTTGATTTTCTGGTTCTTCCTGGTTACCATCTTTACAAAATGGATTTCCAGGAACTCTTAAAGGTCCACTGCAACAACAAAGCCGATATAACTGTTGCAGTTTTGAGCAGAAGGACAGATAAAGATATAGAACTTGGTACTTTCCAAGTAAATTCTGAAAATCAAGTCATTTCGTTCAAAGACAATCTTGAGATAAGAGTAGTAAGTCTCTTTTTCCTTCTTCTCGTACTTCCAATAGCTTCATTTGCTCCTCATTATGGACTAGCTGAAAACATTATTTTCAGGTACAAAATTCAGACATTTCTCAAGATTTGTATGCTGGTATGGATATCTATGTTGTTAACAAAGATGCCATGATAAAGCTTCTTACAGAGTATCACCCCATGGCCAATGACTTCAGAAGAGAAGTTGTACCAGGTGCAATTTCCTTAGGAATGAATGTAAGAGTCGTGTATTTCCATATCCGAGCAACTTGTTGCTCTAAGTTGCCATTTTGAACATAAAATTTTTCCATCCTGTTGCGTAAAGATATTCAACATTTTGTCTTCTACTCTTAATTGAATCATTCTTTGGAACAAACAGGTATATGCACACAAATTCAGTGGCTACTGGGAGGACATGAGAAGCATTGAAGCTTACTACCAAGCAAATATGGAAAGCATAAAGAACACAAAGAAGGCATATAGGTCAGTATCTCCAAAAACCAATAAGTCTCAAGAGTAAATCCCTTAAATATCACCTAACGGGATTTTCATTTTCATTAGCAGTTTGTATGACAAAGACTCTCCCCTATACACTTTGCCTCGACACCTGCCTCCAACTCAGATAACTGATGCTGCTATAACAGACTCTGTGATCGGAGACGGATGCTTTCTCAATGTATAAAAGTGATCAATTGTCCTTGAAATATAGTTAAAGTTTATGTAATTTTTCTCAAGAATTTGGTCTCACAAACATCTTTCTTCCATACTTTGTGTTTTCCGAGTGCAGAGATGCAAGATCAGAGGTACTGTCGTTGGCATGAAGACAAGAGTAGGTGATGGAGCGATAATTGAGGATTCAGTAATAATGGGATCTGATACTTACCAAGTAAGATACATGAATACATTTCATTTGGTATTCATGGATGGTCACATAGAGGAAATGGAGACTATATGAATCCAGTTCATATTCAAGTAAAACTTTTTGAAAGATCCCTCATATTTCTACGTTTGATTCTTATCGATCATGGTAACAATAAGGAACATTAAGTTTCTAGGGGAAGGATATTTAACTTGGTGAAAAATATGCAGAGTGGTCGCGCAGAGGAGGATATACACATTCCTATTGGAATTGGAGAAGGCTCACAGATAAAGAAAGCAATAATTGATAAGAATGTGAGAATTGGCAAAAATGTTAAGGTACTTAGAAAGATTTCCTATCAAACTCAAAATGCACCTTAACGATAAGCTGTTTGAATGCGCGAAAATATCAACGACAATACAGAATGTTGTGATTTCATTTTCTTTATCAAACTGCATTCATACTTAAGTAATCTTTTTATGCAGATATTGAATAAGGAAAATGTTCAGGAGTGCAATAATGAAGCAAATGGTTACATTATCACTAAAGGCATAGTTGTAATAATGAAGGGTGCCATTATTCCAGATGGGAGCATTCTGTGACAGATAACATCATTCTTTCAATGATTTGATAGGAAGACATAGCTGCAGGGAGTCAAATTGTACACTGAGAATTTTTTGAAATTCATACATTTTACTTCACTTTGGTTCATAGTTCAGATTTAGATCATACAGAATCATTCTGTAATGACTTTAATTCATGTTAAGGGGAATAAAGTTTCCAAATTCTGGAATCGTTTTAATAAAAAATGTCAGCTTTGTTCTTTCTGAAAAAGCACCAGTAAAGGTTGCCTTCAGACTTTTTAGGGAAAAGAAAGGAAGAAATTTTTTTTTGCTAAAAAGATACTGAAATAGGACTTATTATAAGAAAGAATATACTTAGGGTTCCAATGGGAATAGGTATATTGATAGTTTGGAAAATGCAAAACTATTGTTGTTTCTTTTTGTTATTGTTCTTTCTTTTATAAATAAAGATTTTCTGGGACATGGGTTAACTCGCGAATAGCAAAAAAATTCAAAAAAGAAGAGGAAAGAGCCTTGATGAGATTCGAACCCTGCATCGATAGCAAGTGAAGTTACACAATTAGGGTACAACTTCACTCTGAATGTTTTTGTCATGTGGATATGCAAAATAAATAAATTGAAAGGACATTTGGGACCTAAATTATGAAGCTACAAAAGCAATGACAGCAGCATCACATTTGTTTATTTTGCTGTAAAAATTAACTCAAAGAGAGTACCTTCATCCTAAATGGACTTTGAGGTTTGTCACTTGATGTACTCCAACTCTCAAGTACAATGCTCTGAAAAAGAAGTAAAGGAAAATGTGCAATGTTTATGTATTCCCAAGCATGCTAAGATATTAAAAAGTATGAAATTTTCTATATGCATACAATTATAGAAGGTGTAGGACATGAAACAACTAAACCAGTTCTTCTATTCTGATATTTCACATTTGATTCCATAAGACTACCAACATCATCTACCAGCTTCTCCTCAACATTTGCTATCGGATATCGCATTTGATGTTAGGACTATCAATCATCTACTAAGCCTAAACATTCTGCAGGCAACAACCAAACGGCATGTTAAATTCCAATGCCAGGTTATTTTCCCTCTAGACATGGTATATCATGCCAACTTCAATAAGACTAATCTGAGGAATGTTAAGCACCACGGAAGGACCCCTACAGTTCTTGCGCAGAAATGAATACCCAATGTCAATAGCAAACTTCTTTAAGAAAGAGGACGATCTTCTAGCTTTCACGTAGGAGTGCCCCATTATATATGCAACCCCTGCCTCCTTTGCTCGAATTAAATCTTCAAGCTCTGCCTTAACAGCTGGATCCATGCCAGGGTTTTCTGGCAATTGAAACCTCACTCGTCGCCTCCTTATTTGTGGGTTCTCCTCAGCATAAGCAGATCTTAGACTCTGGAGAGTAAGAGACTTGCTGCTTTGAATGGAGTCCCTCATTCCAAAATCCTCTGAGACAATTAGTGTTGAAGTCGACTGTACGTTTTTTTTGCTTATGACTGCCATCCTCCCATCAAGTGATGGACTCTCGGAGCTTGACAACTGTGGTTCCACAGCTTCCATTTGGATAAACTCTGCTATACTTTGGATGAGAAGGTCCTCAAAGTCCCCATCATCTCTCTGTATGTCCTTGTAGCCATACCTAACAATGCAACGATACATGCGATAGGGTCTTGGACAAATGCGACCAATGAGGAAGCGTTCCTCAGGTGAGACATAGGGTACTGGAACAGATTTGACACATAAAAACACCAACACACTGTGAAATGCAGGGAGATTCGTCAGAAAGTGAGAGAAGATAGCTGGAACCCCTGTTGCCAATTCTGAGTATACAAGGCCTATCCCGGGGACGCGCACAATACCAAGACTGGGGCCCATGCCAAGGAGCCATTTCAATGGAACTTTGTTGTGCAGATCAAAATTGTACTTCTTGCGAGTTCCATATTGCCAGACAAACATGACTGCTAGGAAGACAAAGGCGAGCACTAGGGAGACCCATCCTCCCTGTGGAACTTTAGTGAACGCGGAAGACAGGTACACACCTTCAATGAACCAGAAAAATAGGAGAAAGCAAGTGGCAAGAACTATGTTTCTTTGCCACACAAAAATCATGACCAGTGTGGTGAGAAACGTTGTGATAAACATACTAGTCATGCAAGCTAGGCCTGAAAGGAAAATAATCAATATGAGAAAACAACCAAGAATTATCACAAGGCTAAATTAAAATAAAGATTCAAGTGTGAAACATAAACTTTTTGTAGTAGCTGCAACAATATTCATTGTAAATCAGTATCATGATAAAAGAAGTCACAATGACCACATGATTATTCACACAAGGGAATACTCTTTGTACTGTGTTTGAGAAAAGAAAGAACATTCTTTTCAGCAGGTAATGCAATTAGAGATTCCTTCTAGTTCACTTCTTCTAGTTTTTGTTTATCATTCTAATCTTTTCAGATGAGACTCCTTTGGTCCCATGAGGCTTACAAATCTTCTATCACAAGGTTCACAAAGAAGAATACATTAGTAGAGCTACACATCACATTAGAGGAACACAATCATATAAAGCAATTAGGTTCCATAGAAAAGTTTGCAAACAGAACTAAACTGGGATTTGTCACCAATCGGTAGTCTTAACAAAACTACCTTACAGGTGATAGGCAACAACCACCTGCGCCTCAAAACTCAAATAGTTGGGTCGGTAATTGAATTTTACGTCTTCATCCCCACTAACAATTACCTTACAGTTGACAGATCGATCAATCAGCTATGACTCAATCTCAAACTAGTGGAATTCTGCTATGCCCAAATGATTCGTCATGATTAGACCATTTTTTTGTTGGCAGTCAAACTATCGCAACCCTCCTCCTTTATATGGTCTATGGAACTGGCTGTGTTCTGGGAAGCTCACATAGGTTAAGTTTATAATCGAAGATGCACAGAAGAAAAAGTCTAGTTGCTTTTGTAGGTAGCATGATTGAACTAGTTGGGAAGAAGACATGATGGAGATTGTAACCTTATATTGAAATTAAATGTTCTTTTCAAACAAGAAACAAAAAATTATATAGTCAAAAGGAGCATCAAATATTACAAAAGAGATCTTCAACACACTGTTGGGCTTACCGTATGCATTTCCCATTAAAATTGTGTCCTGGAACCCAACTGCCACGGAAAGTGTAAGAATCATAAGGATCCAATTTATTTCTGGTATATAGATTTGCCCTTTAACATGCTTTGAGGTGTGGACAATCTTCACTCGGGGGAAGCAACCTAGTGCATTCAATTGCTTGACTATGGAGAATGTAGCTGTGATGATGGACTGGCTGGCAACAATGCTCGCAAGGGTAGCAATGACAAAAACAGGCCAATATACACTATCTGCATGAAAGAAATGAGCCGCAGTTCGGAAATTGGATATAACTTCATCAACTATCCCGAGAAGAATCTCATTCAAAAGTGAAATAAAGAACTAACCAGGTATTGAATTATAAAAGCTGTCTGGAATAGAAGCAAGATTTTTGGACAGAAAAGCAGCCTGACCCATATACTGTACCACCAAGCAAGGATATACAAGAAATGAAAAGGCAATCTGCAGAGGAAAAGACTTTCAGATTGACAAGGTGCAAGTTCTAGAAATCCAACTAATCAACTACATTGAAAGATGACACAGAGAAACGGCCACTATAGGCAATATAATCTGCCCAGTCAAAAGGATAATCAGTCTAGGGGGTCCCATTTCACAAAATATACAATTTTGGGTGCACTTTGGATATCTAGTTAATACTGTTTCTTTCAAAAAAAGAAAAAAATCCAATAGACACAAAAGTTACTTCAAAGGGTTTCAAATTCTCTTCACTTAGTTGTCATCTGAAGTCCTCTCTGATTAAAACAAATTCATTATCTTAACCCATGTAAACCTTGTTGTTTGCTAAAAATGGATCTTTTACATTTTCAAACTGTTACAACAATATTTATCAAATTTGAAAAAGAGTAAGAAGAAACGGTTTGAGCCACTTATTTTGATTTCTCGAACCATTTTTTCTAGCTAGTAAGATGTTTCACTTAGCCAGGTTGTCTCTTGCCTGCACATGAATTCAGTAGCAGTTCAAAAGGTTGCCCTATTCAGGAATCTTTGGTCAACTTAAATATTCACTATTAAACTGCAACAGAAACCAATTCTTGCTTGTTGCTTCCCAACCCAATTATTTTTGTCCTAGTGCTCAGGATTTGACAAGAAAGACGTACATGCTGGGTAAAATTAACTAAGAGCACAACAGTTTCCTGAAGCTGCAAACAGGCTGACTTACCCTCATTGAGCAGGAAGTGAAGTGACCAAGATCTGCAAACATAGCTTCTGTACCTGATGATGGAAACTGAATTAGAAAAAAAAGATTCTAAACTATAAAGGACAAGTTATATAATCCTTGTTTACTAACTAGTAACTATCTGCACGAGCAAGTGCTCTTAATTCAAGGATACTTTTTAATCTTGGATAAAAGAGATGATATCTTTGATGTACCTGCAACAGAGAGGAGGACACCACCAAGAGAAAACCATCCGTGTTTTCTTGTTTCCCTAAAAAACTTGATGATATAATAGGGAGAAAGAGCATGCACAATCTTGGGATTCCAAATAATAACGTTGTAGAGCCCAATCCCAAAAATCGATATCAACCAAATGATTACTATCGGTGCAAACAAAAAGCCAACCCTATGGGTCCCAGAATGCTGTAGAGCAAACAGACCAACCAATATCAGGCAAGAAAGCACCAGCACTTCACCTAGATGAAAAACAATTTAATGATCAATGCCTTGGATGGAAGTCACATAAGAGCAACATAAAAGTGATAAAATGTTTACCCAAAGAGGTAAATCTAAATAAATCTACCGTGAGATAGGTGTTCCGCAGCAGCCTTGATTCCTGATATGGCCGATATAACTGCCACATTAAAACTACTCCTAATTAATAGATATACTAAATTGACAAAAATAATGCAAAAGTTATAATTTTCTGCACTAACATAGGCTTAACAAGGTAGCAAATATGTCATGCTAAAATTTAATATGTTAGTCTATCATTTTCAACTGAGGAAGGAACCAATTTCATAAAACCAAACTAATATTTCTAAATTTATTTTTCCATTTTCCGGGATAAACTGATAGCTTTTAAATTACAAATGCACACCAGCTAATGCCACATACAAGAAAGCAACTACTGTTGGAATTATCAACCTGACATTGCAGGCGTTAGAATACCATCACCAATGACCATGCAAGCCCCCAACAATACAATAATGAGTAAAACTGCACGTGACTTCTTGTGTTTCTCAAGAAATCTCTTTAACGCTGAACACGATGTGGACTGCCCAGCAAAGCCATATTTGTAAGCAGATAGCTCCTCATCAGCTGCTTGTTGGTTGGAAAGTAGACTGAATTTTGCATGTCTACAGAGTAGAGAGTAAAGAGCAAATGTACCACCTGGTAATATTCAAGTATAATTGATCAACACAATCAGGTTCCACAAGAATTATTGGATTCACAGCCTTCTCTTTAACATACCTTCACCATTATCATCAGCACTCAGTACAATAAGTACATATTTGATCAAAGGAATAAGAGTTATTGTCCAGAAGATCAACGAAAATGCACCAAATATTGTTTCTGGAGTCTGATAATCCTGCAACTTCCCCACAAATATACTCTTATAGACATAAAGTGGTGAAGTGCTCAAATCTCCATACACCACCCCAAGACTCTGGTATGCCAATAGCATATTTCTGGAAATATCCACCAAAGGGAACTGCAAGGCCAAATATAAGAGCCGAGCTGGTTTCATACATAATCAGTAGGTAAATAAATAAACTTGACAAATGGAAACTCTAAATTTATGAATTCTACTAGAAAAGAAGAAAATAAAATTTTCTATTAACTGAACAGTAACGTGTATTATCTTCTTCTTCTTTTTTATTTAATAACGTGTATTATCTGCTCCACAAAGTTCAGGCAATGTGATTTCAGTCACGATGTACCCGGAGCTTGAAGTTCTCTTTTTTTTTTTAGATCTCCTTATTTGGATGAATAAACACGCTACACATGGGAATCTGCTAGTTTTTTGGTTGCTGTAATATCTGCATAACTCATATGGGAGTGTGTATATTGCTTTACACTAGATAGACTGTGGAATGAGGATTCTTGCACTGGATAGACCCAGAGAATTCTTATTTTTTTCATTTGTGCAAGGGAAGTGGAGTGAAGGGGATTCGCAACTAAGGTTATTTATGTTTCCCTCCTATGGAAAAGAAAAAAATAAAACAAAGTTTTTTGCTTCTACATTGCCACTTGATTGGTGATGGTGCAATGAGCGCTTGCAGGAATAATTTCTTGACCTCCAATAGACAGTGCAATATTTTACTTTTACCACATCCCCTATTAATGTAAGTTAAGATGAAGCAAAAATAAAAAAGAAAAATTATGCACCTTTGACGCCAACTTCCTTTTTTTCCTTTCTAACTGGGGTTGTTCCTCTTGTCCAACTGTAATGACTGATTCCTGGGCCCCCCCACCTGCAGACGTCGGAGGTGGTTGCTCCACATTATGTTGCATGTGCTCGATATCACCTTGGAACATCTATTTACCTGCCATTTGTTTCAAATAATCTATGTTAGATAGAGGAAGAGAGCTGTCAAAAAGAAAGAAAGAAGTTAAGGAGCCAGGGTCATAACAAAGGGACAATCCCCCTCCCTCACAAGATACATCTTGTGCCTATGAGTCGCTATAATTATCCAAGAAGACACTTTTATCAAAATGTACAAAATAAGCTGCTGTCACAGATATAAGCAAAGGAAGAACAGCAAAAGGTAAGCACCAGCAGGATGATCTTATCAAATGATTTTTAAGGTAAGCACAAGCATCAAAAAGTGTTATCTTGTAAAACCATTGTATTGCCAGACTGGACACCAACAATCTCAGTTTGATGCAAATCAACTTAAACCCTCTAATGGTAAACTGAAAATCCCTCTCTAACCAAAAAGCATACATGATACACGAGAAACTGATACCTAGAGTAATCATTTGAAACATAATAAGTAAACTTCTCAGATTTGATTACAAGAGCGAAGAAAAAAGGTTGGAAGAAGACTATCATGCCAAACTTGTTGAAACGGTAGAGAGGGGACACTCAAGACATATAGCCCTAGAAGTGGTAGAATTTGCTCATTCATACACACACCGACTGGCAGCAAAGATAATGCTCGGAAAGCGAATACAAGTCACATTCTTTGACTAATACTCTATTCATCTCAAAATGCAGTTTCTTGTCATTCAAAAATATACAAAAAACAACATGGCCATTAAGTGCCACTTGCAATTCACCAAAGCTCAATGAATCTTCTATTTTACTAAGCTCCTAAAAAGAGGTTTTCCATTCTTTCTTTTTCCTTGAAAAGGGGTGAGGGATACACAAAGCAGCAAAAATATTTTCCTCAACTTCCTCTTTTTTATAAATAACCTAGTGCCCAACCCAACTTGCACGCACCTCAACTAATTCCACAGAATGCATGTCCTCTCCCAAAAGTAACAGGTACCAAGTTACTGTGTCCACCAAGGCTAGGACAGATGAAAAGAACTCACGTAACCTCTCACTAGTATCGGGTATCAGGTATCTCTGTCCACCAAGGCTATGATAGATGAAAAGACATCACCTAGTGTTTTGTCGCTATTAGATTTTAGCCAACTTCCTTTTTTCCAAGTCTTTTTCATTTTAATCATCAGATAATCTTTCCTAAATCAATAGAACAACAAACAACATTGCATCTCAATCTCAGTCCCAAAAAGACCTAGTACATCAGAAACCATTTCCTTAAAATAATCATTAAATTAGTACAAAAAAATCCCAAACTTGAATCCCTAAAGTTCAAATCCTAGATAAGCAACATTTCCAAACCATCTGTATGTCCAATTCATTCCACTTGGGACACACATATCACACATATATATTATTCATCATAAATTATTGAAGTAGTAATTTTAACTTAACAATATAAAATCACAAACTAATCAAAAGGGGTTCTTTAGAAAATAACCAATTACGAAGTTGTTCAACCAATAAAAAGTCACACAGTATAAGTGTAAATTTCCGGCAACGGCGCGATGAATTGTGGTGACGTAAAAGCGGGTTACGGTGGCAGTATTGAGATGTAAGAATTGGAGAAGATAGTAATGGTGTTACTACTAGGGTGGGTGGTCAAGATTAGGCCTTCTTCTTCTCCTCCTTGTTCGTCCATGAATGGTGATCTTCTGCTACACTTGGCTCCTTCTACTTGGTCTGCCATTTTCATTCTTGCCAAAAAAATTCATGGACATTAATTACTCTTTAGCTTTTGAGGTTTTCATTCAAAGATATATATATATATTTCTATGTTAAAAATATATATTTCTTTTTAGTATCTATTTTAACAAATTAAGAGAGTTTTGTAATCTATATATTTATATATATTATTATTATTATTTTATTTTTTACTATATAAGAAGAGCGAATAAGCACACTTTTCTCTGTCAACACGTGTGCTTACGTGAAAATACACTCAATTTAAGGGTTATTTTTGTCATTCTATGTTTTACTTTACATAAGTGTTGAGTACCTCAATACTACGAAATCAGTTAATAGCCTCCACATGGGCCGGACGATGAAGGTACTTGTGTAAATAAATCAAAATAGAGGGTTGCTTTATGGTATTTCGTACTTTTCAAACTTGAAAAATGATTGTACTTGCCTGCTTCATAAATGTACTTCCTTTTTGTTGGACACAAAAACCATTTGCTTTTTTTTCCTCTTTTACGGCTTTAATTGTGTGGGCCCTATTATTACTTTTGTACACCATTTCATTTTTCCTTGCATTGTTCTTACATTTTATTATTTCCAATTTCTATGCTCCAGGGATCTTTGAATATTATTTATTAATTAATTCATTCATTAATAAATTATTTATATTGTTTCTTCCATTTTAATTGTTTCATCTTTTTTTTTTGCACGAAGTGTTAAATATGAAGAATATTTTTAAATTTTGTAATCTTAAATTTAAAATATATCACATATATTAAAGTAAAAAGTATTTCTAATTTTATAATCATAGATACGCTATGTAAAAAAATTAAAATTAAGAAGTAATTTTCTTTTTTAAGTGAAATAAAAAAAAATATGTTCAAATAAATTGATACGGAAGGAGTCATATTTAAAAAATAGAATAAATATGTGATACTATTAGAAAGAGCTTTAATATATATTTTAAAAATTATTTTTTCTTCCGTATATTATTTTGTGCATATATGTGGAGTTTTAAAGTTTTTAACATTTTAATATAGAAATATGATTATTTGAAAATTTTAGTACTTTCTTCATTTAAATTTTTCCTTGTTTTTCTTTTATATTTAAAAATTACATAAAAAGTACTGAAAATCACAATGTAATAATATAAGATATTAAAAAAAACATAATTAAAAATCATAAAAGAAATTTTATTGACTCTTTAATTCAATATTGAAACAAAAGAAGTTTGTTTGAAAATAACATAAAAAATACTGTAAATTAAAGTAAAATAACAACTAAAAATATTTAAGAATCATATAAGAAATTTAGTTGACTTTCGTAAAAGTACCTACGTCACATGAAATGGAACAGAAAGAGTAATATATATTATTTGAAATGATATAAGAAGTGCTATAAATCACAATAAACTAACAACTTCAAAATATATTTAACAAAATCACATACAAAAATTATATAACTCTCCAAATTTCATCGGTGTCACATAAACTGAAACAAAAAACTACTCCCAATTTATGTGATTTAAATTTAAAATATAGTATATGAACATACTAAAGATTAAATTTTCCATGAAAGGAAATAAAGTTAAATACTTATTATTAAATGTATAAAGGAAAATTATGTTTCAAATTTGTTACTCATGCACGTCAAAAAATCAATTTTATCATTCGCATGTTATGAATAAATTGTTTAAAAAATTTATTATCGCACAAAGCGCGGCTCAATTCACTAGTTGTTATCTATGTTTCAATTTATATGATTAGGCATGCTTTATTGATCAGTATTGTTATTTATCTATTTTTTCATAATTTTGAATTTTTTTCATCATTTTCTATTCAATAATCTTTTTTAAAAAAATTAGCTTCCTTCCTTATTATTAGCATTTAGCATAATGAGCAATTAAATTAGGAAATTATTTATTGCTTTTGCCCACGGAGCATCGGTTACTTCTTGATGCTTTTAATCACCAGTAATTAATTGGCAGCATTCATTTACTTATTCATACTCTATTTTCGCATATATATACTCCTCATATCTTTCATTTGAGGTCTAAGGTAAGTATTTTTCTCTTCTTCTTTTTTTCTTTTTTTTTAAAATTTTATTCATGATTCATAATCCTTAATTTTTAATCTATATATATGTTATCATCATCTTATAACATGCTAATCAATATGGAGTTTTTTTTATGTGAAGAGGCAAATCAGATCTTTTTTTTAATCAGTGTCATTGTTATTTAAGTTTTTGCAAGACTATATCATATTTTTTGTGATTTAAGTGTATTTTTGAAGTAGTTAATATATATATGAATACCCATCTCTCTCTCTCAATCTATACAATATCAAATATCAAAATTTGATATAGACAAAGTGATGTGATATCTCTCTATCATCAATAAATTATTCATCTTTTTTCTTTTTTTATTCTTTTTTTTAAAAAATTTATTATTGCAATTCAATAAAAGGCAATGCAAAAGTGTAAAGGAAAACAAAAATTCATATCCATATTATATAGAAAATATATATAACATAAGTTGGATAAAAAAAAAAAAGGTGACGTAAAACTTATTTTTAGCGTAAAAAATAATAATTTGTTTCCTTAGATTTGCAGGAAAACGTATGAATCATTTATTGCTCATGGAAAGGAAGAGAAAAAAGAAGAAAAATGTGAATATATTTTTTATACCCGGATAGAACCAAGATAGCATGTAAATGGGACTGTTAGACAAGTTCATGTATTTATATAGTAGCTAAGTTTTTAGATTTAAATTTAAAATATAGTATATGAACATACTAAAGATTAAATTTTCCATGAAAGGAAATAAAGTTAAATACTTATTATTAAATGTATAAAGGAAAATTATGTTTCAAATTTGTTACTCATGCACGTCAAAAAATCAATTTTATCATTCGCATGTTATTAATAAATTGTTTTAAAAACTTATTATCGCACGAAGCGCGGTTCAATTCACTAGTTGTTATCTATGTTTCAATTTATATGATGTAGGGGTGTTCACGGTTTGGATAAAAACCAATCCAAACCAAAAAATCTAACCAAATCGATAAAATAAAATCGATTTTATTTGGGTTTGGTTTGGTTTGGTTTTAGATTTTTGAAAACCGATAGTATTTGGTTTGGTTATGGTTTTATTCGAAAAAATTGAAGAAATAACCAAACCGAACCGATGAATTATATACATATATTTTACTAATATACATACTTAATATATTATTTTTATAAACAATTTTAAAGATCTTATACATATTTTCATTAAAATTTCTTTATAATTTACTTATTGAAAGCAAAATGCCCAAGATGAAATATTTATCTCATTGATTTCATGTATATGAGTGTCTATGACAATTCTTGGTGGGGCTGAAAATGTTATCGTCTCTTCCTTCTAGGCCAATACAGTGAGTTTTAAAGTTTTATTGATAGTAAATTTAGTGATCGAAAGTTCAGTTATTTAAGTCATTCTAACTATTTTTCGTTTTGAATGGATTGTTGTCACTTTTTTCACATTTTGAATGAATTGTTTCTTTTATTTTTGTGTATGGTTAATAACCGAATAACCGAACCAAACCAAACCGAAATCGATAACCATCAAACCGATAAATGTATATTATATTTGGTTTGATTTGATTTTGATAATTTTATTGGTTTGATTTTAATTTTGACCAATAACTGATCCAAATCGACCCGTGAACACCCCTAATATGATGTAATTTGACTTGAACGAAGTTTAAGAAAGACTTTTAAAACTTGTTGTCTAACCTTGTTTGGATGGTTGTTACCCTTATAGTGTATTGTATTATGCACATCTAGACTTGGAGGACATAGATGACACTGAAGCTAAGTTGAAGGGCACATTTAGTATTATTTCATGTTGTTTTCATTGTTACTTAAATTTTATTGTATCATATCGTTTAAATCTATTGTTAGGTAACAACAAAAAGATCCATTGTGTGTAATGATTGATTTGGTGTGATCGCATCGTTATCTTAATATTTTTTTTCTCATTTTTTAATTATCATTTAATAATCATATTTTATGCTTTACTTTACATTTTCATAATAGCTCTACCTTGTACCATGTCTTTTTTGTAGGTTTATCATTCAAATTTTTGATGTGTGACATTATGTAATGACAGAGAATGATACAATCTATTCAAATATTATATTCATTAAAACAATACAATACAATATGTTACATTATGAAACAATACATAACAAACATTAAACAGTGTGTAAGAAAGACTTTTGAGACTTGTGGTCTAAAACAAATCAAAGGTGTTTGTGTGCTTGTAAATCGTTTCATTAAGGACGAAATCTAACATTTTAAAGTTAAATTATTACTAAGGGCCACTTGTGTATGTGAGATGAAATTGTGATATGAAATTTTATGATATGAAGTTAAAGTTTTGTTTCGACATGTCACTTGGATTTTTAAGTTGTATTTTTTGCTCATAAACATAAAATTTCCATAGGTCGTGAAAACTATCAAAATTGCTCCAATTCTTTATGCAATCTTACCAAATAAGCAAAAGTTAATAACAAAAGTATAATACAACATCAAAAGCCATTTTAAAAAATACAACAATTGTTGATCGAACTTTAATTCTATAAAAAAAATTAAATGGAACATGAGTTGTAGTGTATACTACTCTTCAATATAATCATTTCAAATAGTATGGACAATCTCCCAAGCATGCATTTCTCAATATAAATAGTTTAAAGGTTGGTAAGAGTAATGATATTAACTACTTCCTACGTTTCATTTTATGTGACACCATTTATCTTGGCAAGAAATTTAAGAAAAAATGGAAGACTTTTGA